TGCTATACACTCTGCCAGTAGCCTCTCACTTGTCTTTAAATTTGTTCATGACTTCCTTTGTCCCAATGAAGTTTTAGACTTTGATGTAGTTTCAAACGTGTATCTTGGATTTTAGTCCGTTTGGAATGTGGTGTCTGTGGATAACGTGAGGCAGACATCCGGGGGCGTTTTGTCCTCACCTGCTAGCTGGCTGTTTCACTCCTGTGCGTTTCCCGATGATCTGTCCTTTCCCTGGATTGGAAACACTCTCGTCATCATAGACTAAGTTCCCATTTGTACATCTGTTTGCTTCTGGAAGCAGCTTCAGCAGCCTTTCTCTTTGTCCATCCCTGTGCGGGTTCAACGTGCTAGTCTGGTTCTGGCCACTAACACACTTCGATGTCTGGGAGGACCTGGAGGCCATGGGAAGGTGCAGTGGTTTGTGGTCAGCGCTCCAGCCTCCCCGACCTCTCCCACTCCGGGCTTTTCTCCCCTCCCCCATGCTCCTCCTGCTCCTCCACCAAGTCTGCTCCTAACACTGTCCATCCTCGATGCAAATGCCAGATAGTAGATGTGAATTCTTTTGTGTGTGTGTGTGAACTATTTTAAAGGTACCAATGAGAACAGAGAACAATAGAATGAACATCTACCTTGAGTACAGGATAAACACCTGTACTCCGTTTATGGACTCTTAACTCTGTGCCATCTTTGTTTCGGCTTTTTAAATAAAGAACTAAATTATAACAGCCATGGTGGAGGCCCAAAGCCATGTGAATTTCATGTTCATAGTTCCCATATATAAAAATTAAAATGCCCCACTTTTCCTGCTTATTTCTGTTCCATGACCTTTTTCAGGGGACCATTGCATTTGCCACCGCCTGCCACACCCACCCCAGGGCTTGTGCCCAGCTGTAAACCCGTTTACCTTGAGGGAGAAATGTACTATATGTAGAAATCGGGCTTGGGCGGGGGGGCATGGTGGAGGGAAGTTCCCGGTGGTGGGGGCGGGGTGGCTTCTCTCTATCCTGGAATCATCTCACACAGCTAAGGACCCGTTCAGGAAGGTCTGTGTGGAGATATTTCTAGGCGGTGGGCTCAGGGTCAGGAGGTGGTAGCCACGGCCTCAGAAGACGATGACAGCTCTGGAGTAGCGCCCCAGCAGAGGCGGGGGTGAGCTTGGGAACAGGGAAGTCAGAGCGCCCCAGGGGCTGGCTTGGGAAGAACCACTCCTCGGCAGAGGTGATCCAGGCAGCTGCAGAGGAGGAGGTGTCCCTGGGGCTGCTGCTTGGCGGGCGGGCGGGCGGGAGGTGGGAGGTCACGCAGGCCCAGTGGGTACGGCTGCTGGGATAAGTGCAGTGCCTCACACTGAATCCCTCCCCGGGGGTAGGGTGGGGATCAGGAAAGCTGCACACAACTGGACTGCATTCCCTTCTCCAACAACTTGCTCTGGGGCCACGCCTGTCCCCAGCCTGGCTGGGTCTCTGGGGCGGGTTTCTGCGGACCTGACCGGCTTGCTTTCCTTCCTTGGTGCCCATCAGCCCCTCGCTCCCTGCTGGTCTGTGCCATGCCCTCAGGTCCCCCTCTCCACCTCTGCCTGCCCTACGGGTGGACCCCCGGGCGGTGGATTCTAACCTCCTGCTCCGCTTCCCCCAGGCCAACACAGCCTCCCTGACCAGGTGGCCCGTCTCTCCTGACCCTGTCTACCCCAGCCCTGTCTACCCCGGCAGCGTCTGTGACGCCTTAGCCAGAAAGCCATGCTTGCCCTGATCTGCTCCAGAACTGGCTGGCAATCCACCCCGGGCTTGCTCATCTTCAGGGCTCCCGGCTTGCCCATCTTCCTTCCCTGGGCCTCGCAGGTCCCCCACTGAATGCACTTGGGAGATGGCCTCTGGTTGGTGGATGAGGTTAAGGGTGAATTTGACAAAACAGAGTGGTCTCATCAGACCTTGGATCTGCTCTTGGAAAGCCTAGCCAAAGGGGCGAGGTTGCCTGAGGCTAAGTGTGAAGCCTTGGCCTCCTCGGCACACGTTTGTCCGGAGGAGCCATCCTGGTCCCCAGCCCCAACCTGCCAGGGGCCATGCTGACCCCAAGAGAAGGCATGCCACGCTCGAGTCACTGGTCTGTGGGGTGTCGCATCAGCACTGTGCAGCTGGGGCTGGAGTGTTTGGGACGCTTGGAGGAAGGAAGCCTTTCTCTGCAAGGCCGTCTTAGGATGGGATGACGTTATTTAGTCCTCAGTGGCCAGTAGTCACCGTAGGCCTTGCTTGTTCCCAACCCTGTCAGCCAGGACCCAAGCAGGAAGGGAGACGCCACTCAAGTATACTTAACAGAGGGAGTGCTTTACAGTAGTTTAAACATTTCTAGATCGATAGACAGACAGACAGATATTGAATGCATGTACAGGGTGGGGCAAAGAAGGTTTACAGTTGTGAGTGCATGAAAGTTTATTCTTATTATTTATTAATTATTATATTATTTTCCGTATGAACAACTGTTCATCTACTTCTGCCCCACCCTGTATGTATATAACATGTATATGTATATAAACACATACACATATGTGTTACTTTTTGAGTTGAAATTATTTTAGGTTTTATAGCAAAGGTGCAAAAATAGTACAAGGTGTTCACGTGACCCTGTTTGTCATCCGGCTTCCCCTGATATGAGCATCTTACTTAACCACAGTGCAATGATCAGAACTAAGAAATTAACATTGGTCCAATGGGACTTCATTTGGGATTTTAGCAGTTGTTCTACTAATGTTTTTTTTTAAATTCTAAGATCCAAATTTGCACTTAGTTTTCATGTCTCCTCATTTTGCTCCAGTCTGTGAAAGCTTTCATGGTCTTTTCTTATCTTCCACAACCTTGACACTTTTGAGCACTGGTCACCTATTTTGTAAAAAGTTCCTCAATTTGCTTAGCCTGATGTTCTGTCTTGATTACACTGAGATTGGGTATTTTTGGCAAGAACACCTCAGAAGGAGTGTGCCCTTCTCCGTGCATCATTTTGGGGAGTTCATGATGTTGATATATTTTATTACAGGCAATGTTACCCTTGGTAACTTAGTCAAGGTGGTGTCTGATGGATGTCTCATTTTTCCTTTCCCCCTTATAATGAATAAATACAATATCATCAGGAGATGCTATGAGATGGCAAATATCCAGAGGGAATTTAATCCAGGGAGTTAGTCACAGATGATAAAAAAGCTGAGAAGCTAAAAGACCCAGAGACGAGCAACTGCAGGAAGCCATGACCACCCCGGGCCTGAGGCACAGGCAGGCGGCGGTGCTGCCAGAGCAGGGCCGGGGTCCTGCACAGTCAGCTGCCAGGTGAGAGCTGGGCCGTGAAGGAGGCCCGGTCCCTGCTGCCAAAGCCACCTGAGGCGGGGCGGGGTGGGGAGGGCTGGGGAAGCGCCTTGGCTTCTCCCTTCTTCCTGCCTCCCATTGGCAGAGCCCAGCTGACACAGGAGCCTAGGAGTGACTGTTGGCGGGGCCAGCCCCTGGGCAGTGCAGAGCAGGGGTGGGCGAGAAAGGTATGTGCGGGCCAGCGGCCCCCAGGACTGCTGTGCCGCCCGCCTCTGCCGTCGCCCTCAAGCTGTGCTGTCCAGTAGGGTAGCCACTAGCGGGAACTTGAAACGTGGCTGGTCCAAATGGGCATGTGCTCTATGTGAATTTCAAACACTTATTATGGAAAGAAGAGCGTAAAATATCTCAGTAATAAATTTTATGTTAATTATTTTAAATATATTGAGATAAACAAAATATATTATTGAATTTAATCTGACCTTTTAAAAATGTGACTACTAGATCATTTAAAATTACACTTGTGGCTCCTATTGGTGGCCCTCATTCTATGTCCATTGGACAGTGCTCTAGAGTAATATACTTGTTCTGGCCTGCGTCATCAGCATTGTAATGAAGTGGCCTTCCTATACGAAGGCCATGCCCTTGGCCCACAGTCAGGAGGGTGTGTCCAGCCGAGGTTTTGCAAAACCAGGCCTTGAGCCATCCACACTCACCCCCAGTTTTGACCAGATGTGTCAGGCAGAGAGAGATTGGGCTTTTCTGCATTTCCTGTATCACAGGGTGTAGATCAAGGTCAATGTTCAACAACCTTAGACTGCAAGGCTGGCTAACATTTAACACAATAATAAAAACACCACCATAGCTCTAGATAGCACCATCTACAGGAACGGCCCTAGTGTTACTACTTCATATCTCTCCAGTGTTTTTATGGTTTATGAAAGTCCTCATCCCAACCTTGCAGTCGCCCATCCCAGCTGTCCCCATTGTATAGATGACGAAACGGGGCCTGGGAGATCACAAGGATATCAGTGGCTCTGAAACTTGTGGTGTATCCCTTGGGAGCTTGTCAAAATGCGGGTGCTCAGGTCCTGCCTTTATGGAGCCTGATTCAGTGGGTGGAGAGTGGGGTCCAGGGACCTCAGTGTGGCAGGCTTTGGGGACTGTCATGCAGGTGGCCCTCAGGCTTCTACACTGTCAGGCCTGAGGGGTGGGTCTGGGCTCTGACGACCAGCCTGGGGCTCCTCCCCAATGCCAGGCCTTCCTGTCAGTCCGCAGGCCCGTCGTCTTTTGGAGCTGGGCGTACGGGAAGATCTGCCCACGCATGCTTCCCCGCCAGGTGTGGCCTTGACATTGTCGAGAACTAGAAGCCTGGTCAGGTGTTCCAACATGATGCCCATTGTTCAGAAGTCACAGTGACACTGCGTTGTACCTAGTTGACTTCCGAGTGCAGCTGGATCTCCGTCACTTCGGTGGGCTTAGGTAAAGGGAAATGAGCTTGCTTTCCCCGAGCAGACACCGAAGGGCCACCTCCATGTGGAATTTGGAGATGCTCCCATGGACCTGCTGGTAGGGAAGAATTTGCTATGGAAGTGGCCGAGCAGGATTTTAGACAGTCCCTGCTGCAGGAGGACAAAGCCGTGATGAGGGCCCTGGGCTGAGTGGGGGCGAGCCTGCATGTCCTGCCGCCACTGACCTCTTCTTTCTCCCCCGCAGTGGACAGCGGACTGCAGCGAGCGGCTGGACGGCAGCTGCTCCTTCCCCCGAGGGCGAGCGCCGCCCCAGCAGGTAGGGAAGCGACTCTGTGCTCCGCCGGGGGGTGTCTCGTCACAGGTCTTATGTGTCTGGGTTTCTGGGCTGGCCCAGGGTGGTCATCCTAGTGACCCTCCAGGTCCCCTGGATGCCCCCTGGTTGTCGCTGTTCTTTCTGATACCTCATCCCTGCCTGCAGGGGGCCAGCGGAATAAGAGGCCAAAAGGCATGACTCTCCTGAGAAGTGGCAATGTGGAGAGAGCAGGAACTGGGAGGGTGGGGGGTGGGTACAGTCTCTCTGGAAAGTTCTCCCTGAATACCCAGCCCACAATGAAGCACTTATTCCCAAGAACATGTAGATTCATAGGATTTCTTTTTAGTAGTAGTGTTATTTATATGACAAACACCTGCAAACAACCAAATGTCCACTGAGAGGAGAGTGGATCAGTGGTATGTGCTATATCCCCACAGTGGACTATTGTTCAGCAGTAAAATGAATGAACTGGAGGTTCACATGTCAGTGTTGATGACGAGTCCCACAAACAGTGGGACTCCTAGGGCTTTGCTGCTACTAGGGCACTTTGGAGATTCTGCTCTAGGTGTGCAGAGGACCCGGGGATGCGTTGCCAGAGACCTGCCCATCTCCCTCGGCCAGCCAATCTCCCTCGACCAGCCAATCTCCCTTGGCCAGCCAGCTGTCCTGGGACCAGGGCACCCCCATGTGAGGGGTGTGGCCAGTTGGGAAGAAGGCAGCGGCCTTCCAGAGTCGTCCCTGGTGACTCGTAAGCTAAAAAAGCCATTTATCCCCACCCCCCGGCCGGGCCTCACGCTGCATCTCTCCAGGGGGTTAAGGGAGCCTTAATGGGCTCCTCAGTAACTTGCTCCTGACTTGGGAGAGCCAACTGGGGTCAGAGGGAAGGCTGCTTGGCCTGAGTCTTGGCGTGGCCACACCCGCGGTGCTGTGTGAAGCTGCTCAGAGCCAGCAGAGCTCAGCAGGCCACAGAGCTGCGGGTGTTTGCAAGAGGGATTTCCTGTTGATCCCTTAGCCAGGCAGGCTATGGAGGCCTGGTGCTAAGCTCTAGAGCAGCGGTCCCCGACCTTTTTGGTACCAGGGACCAGTTTCTTGGAAGACAATTTTTCCATGAACCGTGGGTGGGGAGGTGGACAGGAGACAGAGCTCAGGACATAATGCAAACAAAACTTTGCCCGCTCATCGGCTGCTCATAGGGCAGATTCTCAATAGGCCACCTACTGCTACTGACCAGTGCTGGTCTGTGTCCCAGGGTTTGGGGACCCCTGCTCTTGAGGACCTGAGGCGTGGCCCATGCCTTCGGGGGCCCTACTAGTTACAAGGACAGAACTAAGTGTAAAAGAATGCCCAGTGCAGGGCAGGACATGCACATTTCCAAACGTGAGGTAGGTGGCCCCAACCTCAGGTGTCCCAGAGTTTAGGAGCCTGGCCAGGCCTGAGCAGAGGAGGCGGGACTGAATCACACCTCCTAGATGGAAGCCCACGGTGGGGACCTGTGTGCTGAACCCCGCACTGCATGGAGAGGCAGGAGCTGGATTGAAATGAGGTCTCCTGAGGTCAGGAGAGCTTTGGCTCAGTGATGAAAGGTCTGATATTTAGACATCAGTGACTCAGTTAGGGTACAAACAACAGAGTGATGTAAATCAGACAGAAGTTCCTTTCTGTCTCAGTACAACCTGGGTGGGTACCCAGCATTGGCATGGCAGCTCCATGGTGATGGGACAAGTTCCTTCCTTTTCATTCTCTGCTATCCAGGGTGTTGCCTTTGTCCCCGTGGTCCACGATGGCTCATATTCCAGTGCGAGCATCACCTTGGGCCTCTGGCGGGGGAATCCAAGCTGGTCAGGATTTCTTAAGAGGCTGCTTCACAAGGAAAGCCCCATGTACCTGGCCGGTGGCAGCCGCCACTGCCCACACTGCCATGGGGTGGCTCCCTGATGGAGGGAGAAGCAGGGAGCTGCCCCTGAAGAGTGCCTTTGCTGGGTGCAGCTCCGATGGGATGCTGCTGGCCCACCCATTCTTCTGGGCTCCCGTCTACCTCATCCACCTGATGGAGGAGTGCCGGACCAGTTCTTAGGGACAGCTACCAGCCCCATCAGCACACCCATTGCCCTTGTCCCTGCTCCCTCTTATCCAGGCAGACCTTCTCCCTAATTCATGGAGGGATCACACTGTTCCATGTACATGTGCCTCGGCCCTCGGCCAGCTGGTCAACCTAAAGATGGGCACTAAGGCTGGCTCTGCTTCTCTGACTGCCCCTCATCCAGGGCCTTGCACACAGTAGGTGCTCATAATCATGCTTCAGTTGGCCCAGATCCAGTCCATGCGGCCAGTCCCGAGTGGGCCCTATGCCTCTGGCCACACCCACTTTGCTGAGCTTGCTGGGGTCATTGGGATGATTGGGCAGCTTTCCTTCCCACATTTACCCGTGGGGAAGAATTAGCTTCAGGGAGAAACAGGAGAAGTTGAGAGACTGGGGTGGCTGGCTACTCGGGCACTCCCCTTCACTGTTCTACCTTGGCCACACGTGCCATGGAAAGGTGGTGGCCAGAGGACGCTGAGGTGCTGCATTCTGCCCAGACAGCTCTGTGTAGCAGGTCACAGACCATGGAGGGCCCAGGTGCAGGCCCCACCTGGGGATTAATCATGCACTGGGCTTATTGTCTTAATTCAACTAATGTAAAAACAAAACAAAACAAAAAGCCCTTGCCTCTTCTGAAGCATTTTTGAGGCACAAAGTGGGAGCAACCTCAAGTAAGCCAGGCCCCATGAGATGGGAGGAAGGAGACTCAAAGAGTCCAGAATAAAACATGGGCCACACGTAGTCCCGAGGAGGCCTGTCCAACCGCCAGTGATCGGGATTCGGCAGTATTGAGGACTCTTTGGCATCCTCTTTCCAAAAGAGCTTGTCCATCACCTGATCATTTAGTTAGGAGATTGAAATACGGTCTTCACCTCTTCACCGTGTTGGGGGAGATGTGTGCAGATGGTTTAGAAGAAGGCACCTGAAATGAGAGAGTGCAACTCACTGCAGCTAGGAAACATTTCGAGGTCCCAGCAGGGGGGTTACATTCAGGGAAGAAAGCGGAAGGCATGTGAAGGTTGCTTGGGATCAGGAGCAGGCAGCTCTTCTCCATCTGCATGGAAGAGCTAAGAAAAGGAGATTAATGTGCACAGCAGCAGTAGGACCTATGATGAGACCTTGAGAAGGATATCCTGATGGAAGGGCTTGGCTGACAGTATTGGGTGTTGAGCAAGGTGATGAAACCTTGCTGGGAACCTAATGAGCACACGTCCTTATCAGGCAGGTTTGTGCAAAGCCCTAGAAAGGTTGGGGCGTGTCAGAAACGGTGTCTCTGGATCCTGGCCAACAGCCTGTGATCCCACACTTCCTGGAACATGAGGGAAGGGCATGCCCATGTTCCATCACGATGCCTGGTAGCAAAGTGAAACATCAGGAGAATGTGAAAGAGCGTGTCCCCAAGATCAAGAGAGCCAGATGTTGACCCAGGTGTGGCACGTCTTCCAGTGCCTCTGCTGCAGAAAGAGGCCTTGGGCTACACAGACTTCTCTGAGCCTCTGGAATTTCTTCTGTTATTTATATTCTGTGTCTCCATGAAATAACCAGCTGGATCCAAATAGCTGCTAAAAGCGGCAGGAGGTCTAGATTGTCCGTATTTCTCTACTATTCCCCCACACGCTCTGATTCCTATGCCAGCCTGCAGGCTAGGTACATCCTAGGTGCCAACATTGACTCTGACCTAGGAGGTGACAGGTGGTCAGCAGAGAGGAACCTCAAATACACTGCTTGCCTCCGGCCCACAGGAAAGGGTAGGAGGGCTTTTCTGCCAGCCATCCTGCTGCCCGCCAGTAACTATACTATTGGTTCACTGTTGACTTAAAGACTCACTAGTACAAATGGTATCTTGGTAAAAGTGCCTAGTTTTTTAATCAGCTTCTGTGGATATTTAAGTATCATGTGTATATATGTTCATGGCATTGCTCTCGGTTCAGTCAGTATTTGTTGAGCACCTGCTGTGAGCTTGGCAGACTCATGAGCTGGAGTCCTTGGCTCACTAGCCATTTGCTGAGTACAGGCTAGTAAACATGAAATAGGCTAAAGGCGCACATGTCAAGTTTCCCCGAGAGACGTCCTGACCACAGGTATTGCGGCCAGTCCAACAAGTAGTCCCGTTGGTCTCTGCAGATAGGGTGATGTCTTCCAGAACATGAGAACTTGATCTGTACCTTCAGGAATGGGTGCGATGTTTGACCAGATGGAAGGAAAAGACGAGAAGATAAAGAGGGAAGAAATGGTGTTAGCAAAGGTTTGAAGTTGGGATGTTAGGGCGAGAGGAGAGAGCACAGCTCAAGTAAATGGTTAGTGTTGGAGGATGAAGGTGGGGAGTGGGAAGGTGTTTGTGTGCTCTGCTGAGATGCTGGAGCTGTTTGTTGTCTAACCCCACCACTGCTCATTCTCCTTTATCATATATTTTCTCTGGTGTTCCATACAGGTAAAGCCTGTCTCCTCGTATCAGTCAGGATAGGCTGAGTAATTCTGTAGTAACAAACACCCCTGAATCTCAGAAACTTTAAAGAACCCATTCAGGACCCAGCTTGATGGAACAGTTGCCATTTTAACGAGTCATCAAGACAGAGGGAGGCCTGACTACTGTGGCTCAGTGGGTTGGGCGCGTCCCGCAAAGCCAAAGTTCACTGGTTCAGTTCTTCATCAGGGCACATGCCGGGGTTGCAGATTTGGTCCCTGGACGGGATGCGTACGAGGGGCAACTGACTGATGTTTCTTTCTCACATCAATGTGTCTCTCCCTCTCTTTCTCCCTCCCTTCCTTGCTCTCTAAAAATAAATAAATAAATTTTTTTTTTTTTAAAAAAAGGAAAAAGAACACTGGAGGGTCTCACTTTGGCTGTTCAGCGCTCCAGCCTAGATGTAACACTGTCACTTCCACTGTGAACACATTGCCTAGAACTGGTCACATGCCCCCC